CGAGTTTATGCCGGTGAATTTCTGAATATGAAATATTATGCAGAGAAACAATTTACTAGTTGACGATAACTACTCTCACGTTTATTGATCTAATGAATTATGTAAATATAAATATAACAACTGTACAGTTGTTTTGCATTATAAATCTTGTTAGTATACATAATTGTAGACAAGCGTTAGAAAAACTACAGTCTTACCCTCTTGTCGATGATTCTCAAGTAAAAATTGGCTTCGTTGAGTCTGTACATACTATTGGCTTAGTCTAGGTAGTGAGATTGTTGTTATTATGGGAGTTGTGAGTGTTATCTATTTTTCATCGACTGCAGTGTCTAAGATTGTGATGAACTATATGGTTTATATTTCGCAATTGATCGAGCTCACTTGTAAGAGCATGTCAAAATTTATCGACAGTCCTGGTTACATCTGCCCGCAATTTTTTTTGTTTCCAGAAAAACAGAACAGGACGCTTTTTGCAAAAATTTTTACCGAAAGTGGGGAGAGTGGGAAGTTACGGAGCAACAACAATCCAACGTGTGCACAAGACGGAGAGAGCTAAGTCGATATTCTTCGCAATGATTTTGTGGTTTCGCTGCAGCAAAAGACCACTTTTATATTAGAAAAGCAGGATATTTGTGCAACCCAACGGACACCCAACAGACCCACAGCAATGCAAAAAGTTCGCGCGCTATTTAAAAAGGACAGTGGTATTTTTCCTCGTTGAGTAAATTCTATTGTTTTGATCGTTATTAACGTATCATGACTACTGTTTTTATACTTTGATTGAATTTCTTTCACTTAAAGTATTCTATTAGAGTATCATCTTTGGTATCCTAAATAGTTTTATCGTCGGTACTCCAGAGTACCTTTTTTTCCATTGTGTCTGTTAATACTTTGGTCCTAACTGTTTATAGTTTTTTTTCTACTTATAGTCAACACTCACTTTCGCATCCTAGAATGACTGGAAGATGCAACAAAAGCATTTGCCACCGCCCAGGATGTCGATATCCTGTTGATAGCGGCATGCAGTGCGATGAGCGCAAAGGTTGGTACCACGATGTTTGCACGAATCTAACACCTGCAGCTTTCAAGCGGTTCAGTAAAAATAGGTGCGTATGGCTATGTCAACAGTGCTGTTTGGATGCAAATAGCCTGTTAACCGAGGCCATCTCAATAGTAAATGCCGCAAAAAAGTGTCTCGGCAAGCGCGGTCGGGGTGCATCAGTCAGAACTCAATCTGTCGACACGCAGATTGACACAAGACAGACCCAAGTGAGTCCAAAAACTGCCGACCCACACTCTACTAAGGAGGAATAACATCCTCCAAAGAGAACTGTTACAACCAGAAACTCGCGCAAAAAAGTCTCTTCTGTCCCTCGTATCAAAAATGGTACCCAGAAGGGAACTTCCGGAAGCCGAAACCGCAAGGCTCGACCGGTTTCCAGCGCGAAAGATGACCCAATCTCCCAAGTCGTCCTGACTCTTCCGGAATCCCACAGTACGCCTGACGCGAATGTGGTTACCACTCCAAAGAACGTTGGCGATTGGGTACGGGTCGTAAGAAAAAACGCCAAAATGACGTAAAAGGAAATCATACCCCCACCAAAAGGGTCGACAAGCCGAGGTCTGATCACAGCGACAGATCAGTCATTCTCCATAGAGTCAAGGAGAGTGACAACTTAGAACCGAAAGCTCGTTTTGAGCATGACATTGTGTTGATAAAACAACTACTCAGCCAAGTTATACCCAAAAACATCCCCGGAGTCACCTTGCTAAAGGTGTATAGACTAGGAAATCTAGCGCATCTGAAACCAAATCAGTCTAGACTACTCAAAGTCGTTTTCAAATCCTCAAACGAACGCGACTTAATCTTAGAAAATGGACACAAATTAAAGGGTTCAGGAGTTTTTCTCCGTAAGGACTTACCGTTGGCGGACCGTGTTAAAAGACGGGAAGCCGAAAAGGAACTACAGCTCAGATTAGACGCTGGCGAAAAAGACCTGAAAATTGTAAATTTTCGGGTTGTGAGGCTCCGACAGAGGATGATGCCGAAGCCACTCTGGGTAAAGCACGAGGCCACCTAAATAGGCTTCGGATCTGTTATACCAACGCCCGGAGCTTACTAAATAAGCTACCGGAACTAGGTGTACAATTGACTCAACTAGGCCAGACATAATCGCAGTCACAGTAACATGGCTGACGCCGTCTATAGATAGTAGGGAACTTGATTTCGAGGGTTTTACATTGGTAAGAATACAAACGCGTAAAGGAGGGGGAGTAGCTCTATTCATTGGGAATGCTATTCCATTCACCATTATCGACAGTGTATCCCATGAGAGTGGGACGTACGAATTAGTTTGCTGCCACCTGAAATGCAGGGGACAAGAGTTGCTACTTAGTTTGATCTATCGCAGTCCAAGCTGTGAGTCAAACGAGGTCCTGCTAAGCAGTCTCAACACTTTATCACGAAGTGACCGATGTCTAATCCTAGGGGACTTTAATGCACTCATGGTGGACTGGGGAAATCTGCGGACTGAATCGTCAGCAAACTCCTTCGAACAGGAACTAGTTGATGCGGTAATCACATGTGCCCTAGTGCAACACATGAAGGAGGCAACTAGGTACGACCCGGGTTCTGCATCATCCTTACTAGATCTTATATTGACTCATTATGAGGATGATGTTGCAAACCTGGATTACATGCCACCCCTAGGCAAAAGTGATCATGCAGTTTTAAGCTTTGACTTCCATATAACTGTCGATCACGAGTACGCTTCAGCTCAATCCAGACCTAACGTCTGGAAAGCAAACATACCAGACATCATGAAATCAGCATCATTAGTAGATTGGAAATTAGACCCAGAGTCATCAATCGAAACGGCTTGGGATGTATTCCGGAATTTATACTTAAAAGTTACCACCCCCCACATCCCTTGGACTACACCTAAGAGACCGAGAAACTCCCCACCGTGGTTCAGTAGGGAGGTTCACATCCTTCTCCGTAAAAGAAGGAAAATGTGGGACAGATTTAGGTTAGCGGGGACTGACGAGGCAAAATCTCAGTATCAAAAGGCTCGAAATACCTGTGCCTCGACCCTCCGTAAGGCCAGAAAGCTGTACGAAGAGAAAATCGTTAGGGAATCCATAGAATGCCCAAAACGCTTGTATTCGTATATAAACCAAAGGACAAAAAGAAGAAGAAATGTTCCTTCACTATGGGGAGACAGTACTGCCACATCACTAGTGGAGGATGACTTTGGCAAAGCTCAATTATTCTCTAAATACTTTAGCGATGTATACACCATAGAAATACCCTTCTCACCAGTCCATGAAAATCCACCCACACAAGCACTGGACAGCGCAACCATTAAAGAACTCGATGTCTTTGGTCTGCTAGTTAAGCTTGACATAGGTAAATCCACGGGACCCGATGAACTGCATCCTAGGTTACTAAAGGAATTAGCTAACTTTGTTGCGAACCCTTTAAGTGTATGTTTTAATCTATCCGTAACCCAGGGTCGTCTACCAAAAGACTGGAAGAACGCCATAGTAAGTAAAGTCTTCAAAACAGGTACAAAACATAAGCCTGAGAATTACCGACCAATTAGCCTAACTAGTGTGGTTGTTAAAATCTTAGAAAAGATTATTCGGAAGGAACTGTTAAAGTATCTCGATGAAAACCGGATCCTCTCCGAAAAGCAGCATGGTTTTAGAACAGGTTACTCTTGTCTCACAAACTTATTAGTCGCTCGTGAAAGCTGGTGCGCTCTTAAGGACCAAAAATTACCTATAGACGTAGCTTACATCGATTTCAGCAAAGCTTTCGACAAAGTTCCGCATAACCGGCTGTTATATAAGCTAAGGAATGTCGGGATTGGAGGCAATCTATTGATGTGGATAAAAGACTTCCTAGTTGGGCGTCAACAAAGAGTAAGGGTGAACTCCAAGTTGTCTAGCTGGGAAACTGTGCTTAGTGGAGTCCCCCAGGGTACAGTTTTGGGGCCAGTGTTATTCCTCCTGTACGTAAATGATCTCCCTCGTCTACTATCGTCATCGGTCTTACTCTATGCTGATGGTGTCAAGATATGGAGAGCGATACAAAGCAAGGGCGATAGCTTAGAACTTCAAAATGACCTGGAGAGATTATCTGAATGGTCCCAAACCTGGCAATTGCCGATAAACACTTCCAAGTGTATTGTGATGCATATTGGCCATCAGGGTACAGATACATACACGATGAATAACACTGAGTTACCTATTGTTCAGGCACACAACGACTTAGGCGTCATCGTCAGTCAAGACTTAAAGACTACTGCACACTGCCGTGCAATAGCCGCCAAAGGTTTTAGGACTTTATGGTCCATACGCAGAGCTTTTAGGCATCTTGACGCTAAAACGTTTTTGACTTTGTATACAGTGTTCGTACGCCCTAAACTTGAGTACTGTTTACAAGCAGCTAACCCCTGCCTAAAAAAAGACAGTGAACTCTTGGAAAGGGTTCAGAGAACAGCAACTAGGCTGATTCCCGGAATAGCGAAGCTCCCGTATGGTACTAGACTGACCAAGCTAAACCTATTCCCGCTGTCATATAGAAGAATCAGAGGTGACTTGATTATAGTTTTCAAATTGCTTAATGACAAATTTACACCTGATATGCCCTCATTTTTCTTGTCTTCCAAAACAGAAAATCTACGAGGACACTCCAGAAAAGTTCACAAGCCCAGAACGAATTACTTGTCAGCTGACTACCGACTTTCCCATCGAATCATCAACGAGTGGAATTCATTACCTCAGCACGTGGTTGAGGCTCCATCCGTCGACTTCTTCAAAAGAAAGTTGGATAAGCTGAGAGACCATCGTTGCCAGGACTAACACAGGCCATCAAGCCTCCTGTCCTTTCCAAACTGAAACTGGAATGACCACCTCTTGTTAGGCCGTTCAAGGTCGTCAAAACAGAACGGCGGGTGACTTTGAAAAGACTTGACTTTTATACCGTTCCCGTTATGGATAAACGTGAGTTACCTTGTGGTTGTACATCCCCTGCATTCTCCTTTGTATCTTTGTATGAGCCCCAATCCTACTAAGCTCTATCGTAGTTTCAGTATCTTCTTGCTTATCAGTCAAGTCGACTACACTGAGATAATTATAATTCCCGTATTGATAATATCCTCCCAAATACTACGAATAGACTGTTTGACTTATGGAATACAAAAAATATATTAGGAAATGTCCCTGAAAATATTGGTGTTGACCAACTTGGTTTTTTATGAGAATGCGTCTAACAATAACGGAATTCCGTCAACAAACAATTAATTTTTGTTGTGACTGACAAGTTTCTGTTATGTTTATTATTTTTACATGTTGATCAATTATTAAAAGAACAGTCATTTCCTGATGGAAAATCCTATCGGTCACTTCCTAAGACGCAGTTTAGACGTGATCGGCAAAATTATGTAAAGGCCCTACTAATATCATGTAAATCGTTCCTATTTCTGGCATCATTCATAGCCAATTGCAGGTTTATGTACTTAGCCTTGAGTTTCAGTTTTGTTGGTGTCATTAATGTTAAGTAGCCCAACAAACTGGAGTAAACTAAGTAGACTCAAACACAAGTGTTTGAAAGAAAAGTGACTTAACTAGTGATTCATCTCAACCTTTTCAAACTGCCTTTAAGTTCTAGGTCGGCGTTAAAATGCAACATATAATGATTGCCAAAGCACAGTAGAAAATGGTCAGTGTGGAATCCTTTGGCGAAAATTAAAAATATCTGAAATTCTCTTCTAATTCGCCGTACCCTTCTACTTTATTTGACTCATCAACTGCTAAGACTTCGTCTTCGCCCTCTTGGGGCAAGTTTGGTGAATTTTGTCAAAGCTCATGTTCCTCGTCTTTAGCTTGCATATGGGGTATGCCAAAAGAAGTTGATCTAATTGGTTCTTACTGGGTACTGGTTACTTTATGGCAGTGAAACATGGCCGTTAAGAGTAGAGGATATTCGTAGGCTGCTAGTGATCGACCATAGGTGTCTTCGAAGCATAGCTCGTATATTCTGGGACCACCGGGTAAGTAATGCAATTGTTAGGAAACGGGTAGTAGGTAAGGATGGAAAATCGATTGATGAAGTAGTGAAACTTCATCAGTTGAGATGGTTGGGACACACGTTACATATGCCCAACCACCGACTGCCCCGACGTGCAATGCTTTATGGTGTAGGAGTAGGTTGGAAGAAAGCTAGGGGCGGCCAGACCAAAACGTGGCACAAATCCATGAAGTCGCTGGCAAGTGAACTGAGTCATGTTGGTAGGTGTAGACTACCTGGTTGGGATCCGCGAGATGATAAAAATCGATGGTTAGAAACCTTGAATGACACGGCTCAAAATAGTTTGCAATGGCGAAGGTGCATCCAATCTTTGTGTTCTACCAAGTTCTGATTCTCTGAATTCCTCATGTCCCTATCTTTTTTCTATTTCCAAATTTACTTCACTGTATTATACTCCTTTAATCACATCTTCAAACCTTAATATTTCACATAATGCTTATACTCTTACTATCTCTACCACTATGGGATTTGAATCGATAACTGCATCTTTGTGCTAATGTGGTATGGCAACTCGAACTGATGTACGTACGTACAAAGTTCTAGGTTGTGACTGACTACTGGGTTCGAGATTGGCTTATATCACATCCTTATCCGTATTATTATCGCCTACATCAACTCGATTTTTTGTTAACATGCCAAAAATATAAGTAACAGTGTATTTAATTGTAAGAAAAAGACATGAATCAGAATTCTTGATAGAAATCCATCTACAAAATTTCGTCCATTTTTACTGCAATAATTAAAAATTACTTTTAAAAAAAGATTACATATTTCAATCAGTTGTAAAAACTAAGCATCTGGAGTATGTTTCACTTGAAAAGTATCACCCTTCTAGGTAGTAAATGAGAACGAAAGATAAGGACTCTCGTTTCCAGTAATATTCAGCTAGATATATTTTTTTTATCCTTCAGCTCCTCCTCCTTACTCTCCTCCAACTGCGCCTTATCCAATTCAAGACCCATGTCCTTATCCCTCGTATCCACAAATGAATCAACCAGGCAATATTCAATTTTTCGGATCTGGCTACCAACCTGCACCACCAAGCAAGTATTATTATTTATCTATTTCTTATTTGTTACGGTGTTGGAATGCCCATACATTATTATAAGCTAGTTTCGTAGATTGATGGATGTTATGAATATCCTGTTTAGTAATATGTTTTGAATAGAGAACTCTTGAACAGATAGTCACTTTTATAAGCACTTTTTAATCGTACTTGCTTTCTTAATGCGTTAGTTAGTCCTGCGAATAATGATGACCCGATGAGGCTGGATTATTTGTTCAGTAAGGTCCTAACTTGCCAACCAGTCAGTCAGCGACAACGCAGGACCAGGCACATATATGCATCGGTCCAAGTTGCCATACCTCGTTAGCACAACAAGATGAACACTGGATTCATAGAAGTAGTTAATTTAGTGGTGGTAATATATAAAGAAAGGTTGTATATAAGGATATAGTATAGGAAGGAAAAAAGTTATGAAGCAACTTTAATCTCAAGGTTTAAGGGAAGATAAAGAGTGTATACATCTACGCCATTGTGATCGATTCTGAGCCATGTCACCCAGAGTCTCCAACCATTTATTACGATAGTCACACGGACCCCAACCAGGTAGTCTGCATCTACCAACATGGCTCAGACTAGAAGTTAGTGACTTCAAACACTGATGCCATGTTTTGGTTTGACTGCCCCTAACTCTCTTCCAACCATCCCCTACACTAGTCAGCATTACGCGTCGTGGTAATCGGTGTTCAGACATACGTAACACGTGGCCCAATCATCTCAGTCGATGAAGATTCATGACCCCATCAACTGATTTACCATCATTCCCTAATACCCTGCGTCTAACCTCACTATTACTTACCCGGTGATCCCAGCAGATGCGAGCAATATTTCTAAGGCATCTGTGGTCAAATACTAGTAACCTACGAGTATCTCCTACTCTTAATGGCCATGTTTCGCAGCCGTAAAGTAGAACAGAACGAACTGCTGCGCAGTATACTCGTCCGTTAATTGATAGACGGATATCTCGTCTTCGCCATAGGTGACGTAAGTTGGCAAAAGCCAAACGAGCTTTTTGAATCCGTGCTGAGATTTCGTCAGACACCAACCCATTAGGGCTGATCAGACTTCCAAGATAAGTGAAGTTGTCAACGCGTTCGACTACTTCACTCCCTATCCTTAGTTCGAGTGTTGACGCAGGCCAGTCCTGGAGTAACAATTTACATTTGGATGGGGAGAAACGCATCCCAAACATCCTGGCATTATTACTGAGTTCCAACAGAAGACTCTGCATTTTGTCAGTGTCTTCACCAAACAGGACTATGTCATCTGCGTATTCTAAGTCGATAAGTGAACCTCCTGGTAGAATATCAATTCCAGAAAATTCAGTCGACGAGAGTGTTATTTCCAGCAACAGGTCTATAATGAAGTTAAACAAAAATGGGGATAGTGGACCGCCTTGACGGACACCACTTGAGGTTGTAAAATCATATGACAGTTCGCCATAAACTCTCACTCGACTGGTAGTGTTCGAGTAAAGAGCCTTCACAAGGTTTATGTACTTCTCAGGTACACCTTTCAATGACAGACACTGCCACAGAACCTCTCGGTCTACAGAGTCAAATGCTGCTTTCAAGTCAAGAAAAACTATCGGACGCCGGTAAGCATGTCTGTGCTCTAAAACTTGACGAATGGTGAATATGTGGTCGATACAGCCACGACCAGGTCCGAAGCCAGCCTGATCTTCTCGTGTTTGGAGTTCACGAGTCTTAGTTAGGCGCCCGATAATTATTGAGGCTAGTATTTTAGATACTATGTTAGTCAGACTAATCCCTCTATGGTTATCACAGGATGATTTTGACCCCTTCTTATATATTGGGACAATCAGTGATTGTGACCAGTCAGATGGGATTACATCCGTCTCCCAGATTTTAGCCAGAATATTAGTCAACCTAATCGCTAAAATTGGACCACCATATTTAAAGACCTCTGGAGCCGATCCATCTGGACCAGCTGCTCTTCCTCGTTTCAGACTACTTATAGCCTTTTGAACTTCAAGTAGGGTCGGGAGGCCTACTTCAATGTTCCATTCAGGTTTTCTGGGAATAGTGGGTAGTTGTGCAGTAGCTGAAGGCCATCTAAACTGCTCCTTAAGGTGTTCCGCCCATCTTTCTAAACGTTTGGGTTGAGAGCAGATAAGGGTTCCATCTTTTTCCGAGATTGTCTCACTTACACTTGACTTCTTAATTCCGGTTTCTTTTATTAATCTGAATAGTTGCCTGGTGTTGCCTACAACCGCTGCCTTTTCCATCTCTTTTGCTTTCGTTGCCCACCACTGCTCACGATCGTTCCTTAGATCTAATTTGTTTACGCTCTTCGTCGTGTTCAGAGCCTGATGGGATGAGTTTACGCGAATCCATCAGTGAAATAGACTTAGAAGAAATCCACTGGTTTTTTGGAGCCCTATGGTTTAAATAACTAATAGATGTGACGGCTGTTTCCACAGCTGTTCGTATGTCTTTCCAAGCAGCATCTGGGTCAGTCTCGTTTACAGAACTGCCTAGATGTGAACTCAGTTGTTTCTGGAATTCGCATTTGGCTTTCTCGTCCTCCAGTTCAATCCTAATGGGTCTTCTTAGTGTACTTTTCCTGCGTCCATTGAGGCGCAGACAAATGCGCGCTCGTATTAAAGCGTGATCAGAGTCTAAACAAGTATTCCAATACGAGCGACAATCTTCTATTGAGCCTCTCCAACGATGACTGATGACAATATGGTCTATTTGAGTCCATCGTTGGTTTGGTGCAGGTGGTCGCCATGTTAGACGATGTCTCTCCTTATGCTTAAAATTAGTGCTTGCTAAAAATAAACGATTGTCTGAGCATAGTTGCAACAGACAATCACCATTATCGGTTCGTTGAACCGGAATACTAAAACACCCACCTAAATGTCTTTCTGTTTGAATTAAGCTGCCTACCTGGGCATTAAAGTCACCCGCTACGACTACTATGTCTGAGCGTTTAGTTTTCTGAAGAAGCTCAGAGAGTTTTCTGTGAAAGTTATCTTTTACTTCATCATGGCTGCAGTCAGTGGGAGCGTAGGCAGAAACGACGAAAAGGCAACGACGTGTGTCCCTATCCTTCCGAGTTCTTACGGAGCCATTTAGCCGGACAGCACACAGGCGACTGTTAACGGGGATCCATTCTAATAGTGCCTGTTCTGCCCTTGTACTTAGTGCTATGCCTACACCTGCAAGTCCACGAGAACTAGCCAAAGGGTCGCCAAATACACGGAGGGTGTATTTCGTTGGCTGTCCATTTTGGTGAGGTGGGGTCAAGTGAATGGCCACACTAGGATCTCGTATGCGTGTTTCGGAGACACAGCATACATCAATAGTACTTGCCAACCAAGTCATCTTAGAAGTGGTAAGACCACAAACACCAAGGACTAATTCCCATTGCCAATTGTCCTGTGTTTCAGTGACAATAGGGTGTCTGTCACGGGTACCTAGAATCTAAAAGTAGTCCATCTATTACCTCTTGGATTTTGGTTGTTGGTAATAAGGTCAGAAAGGTATGGTGCTAACACAATAAAGACCACTCACAGAAACACTGTGTATAGACGTTTCCAAACTGTTGTTACTTGAACACCATTGTCTTCCTTTCAAGCCCCGATGACCTTCAATCTAAAGATAATGTTATCATTCCCCTCAAAAAGAAACACACGATGTAGGGAACCAGGAAATGTTAATGGACCACACACCACTAGCATTCGACTTAATTTTGATGACAGTCAAAGCTCCTTCCTTACTAGTACCTATTCTTTTCCAATAACTAGCTGAATTAGCATGTAGCTCTTCTAGGGCTACAGCTGGACCCATGCCCACACAAAGGAGGAGGGTTGCGTATGGAGTCGGCATATTCATCCCGTAGGAAACAACCTCGCTGAAAAAACGCTAACCACCGTAAACAAATTAAATCATTTAAGTTTCGTCCTGAGAGTTAAACGATTTTCATCCAGAAGAACTATAGCGACTCATAGTGAAAGCCGAGATTCTTCCGAAGTCACGAGGTCGATGCCCCTTCTGACAACCAGAGCAACAGTTAATATAGGTACATGGAATGTTCGGACAATGTGGAAGACTTGATAGAACTAAACAAATAGTGGCGTAAATGAGGAGATACAACCTGGAATACGTGGAACTCATTGGATCAAAGCTGGACAGAAAAGGTTAAATTCGGAAGAGATACTGCTGTACTCTGGTCTCGGAAAAGGAAATGCTCCATACACACAAGTTGTACCGATGCTACCTAAATAAGCATGGGAATCTCATAGATCCAGAGTCATTAGAGCATCCTTCAAAACAAGGAGAGATGGGATTACAACGAATATTATCCAATGTTATGCACCCACCAATGGTAACAATGAAGACAATAAACGTCGGTTTTACTAGACGCTTCAGTCGGTCGTAGAGAAGTGCTCGGGAAGGGAACTGGCCATCCTGACCTAGCAACGACAGTGGAAAAAGCTGCAACAGAAGGAGTTATGAGACGACTATATGACTCAACGAAGAAACTAGCAAGGAAATATGGTAAACCAGAGAGACAAGTCAAAGACAAAGAACGTAAACCAATCACTGAGATTGAAGAACAGAGAAACAGATGGGTAGAACACTTTGAGGAACTCTTGAAAAGACCAGGTCAAAATCATCCTGCGATAACCATAGAGGGATTAGTCTGACTAACATAGTATCTAAAATACTAGCCTCAATAATTATCAGGCGCCTAACTAAAACTCGTGAACTGCAAACACGAGAAAATCAGGCTGGCTTCAGACCTGGTCGTGGCTGTATCGACCACATATTCACCATTCGTCAAGTTTTAGAGCACAGACATGCTTATCGGCGTCCGACAATGATAGTTTTTCTTGACTTGAAAGCAGCATTTGACTCTGTAGACCGAGAGGTTCTGTGGCAGTGTCTGTCATTGAAAGGTGTACCTGAGAAGTACATAAACCTTGTGAAGGCTCTTTACTCGAACACTATC